TTCCTTGCCACCCACTCTGAAACTAACTGCAGCTCTTTGTTAAGTGTTGCAGTCATTTCAGTCGCTGTAGTAGCTGACATGTATAGTGTTGAGTCATCCGCATACATAGACACACTGGCTTTAACCCCTTTGTTGGCAATGACACAGGTCAAATGTTTTCTGTAAGTCTTCACAAGGTTTTCACACACTGTTGCTGGTATTTTGGCCCATTCCTCCATGCAGATCTCCTCTAGAGCAGTGATGTTTTGGGGCTGTCGCTGGGCAACACGGACTTTCAACTCCCTCCAAAGATTTTCTATGGGGTTGAGATCTGGAGACTGGCTAGGCCACTCCAGGACCTTGAAATGCTTCTTACGAAGCCACTCCTTCGTTGCCCGGGCGGTGTGTTTGGGATCATTGTCATGCTGAAAGACCCAGCCACGTTTCATCTTCAATGCCCTTGCTGATGGAAGGAGGTTTTCACTCAAAATCTCACGATACATGGCCCCATTCATTCTTTCCTTTACACGGATCAGTCGTCCTGGTCCCTTTGCAGAAAAACAGCCCCAAAGCATGATGTTTCCACCCCCATGCTTCACGGTAGGTATGGTGTTCTTTGGATGCAATTCAGCATTCTTTGTCCTCCAAACACGACGAGTTGAGTTTTTACCAAAAAGTTATATTTTGGTTTCATCTGACCATATGACATTCTCCCAATCCTCTTCTGGATCATCCAAATGCACTCTAGCAAACTTCAGACGGGCCTGGACATGTACTGGCTTAAGCAGGGGGACACGTCTGGCACTGCAGGATTTGAGTCCCTGGCGGTGTAGTGTGTTACTGATGGTAGGCTTTGTTACTTTGGTCACAGCTCTCTGCAGGTCATTCACTAGGTCCCCTCGTGTGGTTCTGGGATTTTTGCTCACCGTTCTTGTGATCATTTTGACCCCACGGGGTGAGATCTTGCGTGGAGCCCCAGATCGAGGGAGATTATCAGTGGTCTTGTATGTCTTCCGTTTCCTAATAATTGCTCCCACAGTTGATTTCTTCAAACCAAGCTGCTTACCTATTGCAGATTCAGTCTTCCTAGCCTGGTGCAGGTCTACAATTTTGTTTCTGGTGTCCTTTGACAGCTCTTTGGTCTTGGCCATAGTGGAGTTTGGAGTGTGACTGTTTGAGGTTGTGGACAGGTGTCTTTTATACTGATAACAAGTTCAAACAGGTGCCATTAATACAGGTAACGAGTGGAGGACAGAGGAGCCTCTTAAAGAAGAAGTTACAGGTCTGTGAGAGCCAGAAATCTTGCTTGTTTGTAGGTGACCAAATACTTATTTTCCACCATAATTTGAAAATAAAATCATTAAAAATCCTACAATGTGATTTTCTGGATTTTTTTTTCTCAATTTGTCTGTCATAGTTGACGTGTACCTATGATGAAAATTACAGGCCTCTCTCATCTTTTTAAGTGGGAGAACTTGCACAATTGGTGGCTGACTAAATACTTTTTTCCCCCACTGTAGACACACTGGCATTACCCAAAGCATGTCGTTAGCAAAGATTGAAAAAAGTAAGGGGCCTAGACAGCTGCCCTGGGGAATTCCTGATTCTACCTGGATTATGTTGGAGAGGCTTCCATTAAAGAACATCCTCTGTGTTCTGTTAGACAGGTAACTCTTTATCCATAATATAGCAGGGGGTGTAAAGCCATAACTCATACGTTTTTCCAGCAGCAGACTATGATCGATAATGCCAAAAGCCGCACTGAAGTCTAACAAAACAGCCCCCACAATCTATTTGTCATCAACTTCTCTCAGCCAATCATTAGTAATTTGTGTAAGTGATGTGCTTGTTGAATGTCCTTCCCTATAAGCATGCTGAAAGTCTGTTGTCAATTTGTTTACTGTAAAATAGCATTGTATCTGGTCAAACAATTTTTTTTCAAAAATTGGTCAGCTATTTGAGCCAGTAAAGGGGGCTTTACTATTCTTAGGTAGCGGAATGACTTTTGCTTCCCTCCAGGCCTGGGGGCACACACTTTCTAGTAGGCTTAAATTGAAAATATGGCAAATAGGAGTGGCAATATTGTCCGCTATTATCCTCAGTAATTTTCTATCCAAGTTGTCAGAACCCGGTGGTTTGTCATTGTTGATAAACCCCCCCCCAAAAAATCACCTTTTCCACACTCACTTTACGGAATTCAAAATTACAACGCTTGTCTTTCATAATTTGGTCAGATATACTTGGATGTGTAGTGTCAGCATTTGTTGCTGGCATGTCACGCCTAAATTTGCTAATCATGCCAATGCAAAAAAATTATTAAAGTAGTTGGCAATATCAGTCGGTTTTGTGATGAATGAGCCATCTGATTCAATGAATGATGGAGCTGAGTTTGCCTTTTTCCCCAAAATGTCATTTAAGGTGCTCCAAAGCTATCCAGACCTCAATACTATCATTCATTATGTCATTTATCTTTGTTTCATAGTGTAGTTTCTTCTTCTTTTTATTCAGTTTAGTCACATGATTTCTCAATTTGCAATAGGTTTGCCAATCGGTTGTGCAGCCAGACTTATTTGCCATTCCTTTTGCCTCATCCCTCTCAACCATATATTTTTTCAGTTCCTCATCAATCCACTGGGATTTAACAGTTTTTACAGTCATTTTCTTAATGGGTGCATGCTTATTAGTAACTGTAATAAGCAATTTCACAAATGTGTCAAGTGCAGCATCTGTTTGCGGACCAACAAATATTTTTTACATCAACAACATAGGAATCACTACAAAACTTATTGTATGACCTCTTATACACTATATTAGGCCCAGCCTTTGGAACTTTGGTTTTCCTTGATATGGCTACTATATTGTGATCACTACATCCGATGGATCTGGATACTGCTTTCAAGCACATTTCTGCAGCATTAGTAAAGATGTGATCAATACATGTTGATGATTTCATTCCTGTGCTGTTTGTAACTACCCTGGTTGGTTGACTGATAACCTGAACCAGGTTGCAGGCACTGGTTACAGTTTGAAGCTTTTTCTTGAGTGGGCAGCTTGATGAAAGCCAGTTAATATTTAAATCACCCAGAAAATATACCTCTCTGTTGATATCACATATATTATCAAGCATTTCACACATGTTATCCAGATACTGACTGTTAGCACTTGGTGGTCTATAGCAGCTTCCTACAATAATGGGCTTTAGGTGTGGCAGATGAACCTGTAGCCATATTACTTCAACAGTATTTAACATGAGATCCTCTCTAAGCTTTACAGGAATGGGGTTCTGATTATAAACAGCAACACCTCCACCATTGGCATTTCTGTCTTTTCTGTAAATGTTATAACCTTGTATTGCTACCACTGTATAATCAAAGGTATTATCTGAGTTTCAGAGATAGTCAGAATATGAACGTCATCTGTTACTAGCAAATTATTGATTTCATGAACCTTGTTTCTTAAGCTACATATGTTAACATGGGCTATTTTGAGCACTTTTCTGGGATGCTTAGCAGAAGTAGATATGCTCATGTTATTTATGTTAGTGCAGAGTGAGCTGGACACAGTGGACTTCCTACTTATCAACAAAAGTTACACCCATTGAGCTGCAATAATCACGTAGCCAGTTGTGAAGAGAAATAATCCTGCTAAAGCGTTCAATACCATGATTCAGAGAGGGCACAGGGCCAGATATGAATCCAGTTTCAACTGTTCAGAGCTGCCCTTCATAATGTCATTAACGATACTACGATAGAATCGATTTCCATGTCCTGACGTAGTACATTCGGGAGCACCTTAGTAATGTCATTTACTCAAGCTCCGGCATAGGACATTGTAGACTCAGGCTTGGCAGAGCCTACCCCCATCACTGTATCTGCGAGCTGTTGGCTAGAGCGCACTGTGGGAAGACCAGAGTAGGCTATACACATTTGCTATTTAATGCAAAAGTTTTTGTGACAAACTATTGGTAGAGTTGAAAATGTGATGGAAACACATTGAACTTTAGATTTGGCCTAGAAACTAATATAACCACTCTATGGAAAGATTAAGGAGGTAGTTAAGGAGTGTCCAAAAAAAAATATTTCCTGAGCTTTCTTATATCTCCTAGATATAGGACAGACACTTCAAAACCTTATTCCTTATGATTTATTTTCTGACAATCTTTTTTTGCCATTTATGAATGTGTTATTGAATGCTTTTCTATGGGCTATAGTAGTAAAGGTCAAATTCAATTTTATCAACAAAAAGTATATATGTATATTTTTGATAGGCTACCTAAAGGGGTCCTAAAATGTCAAATTAAATAGCTAAATGACCATCTTAAAACAATTCTAGATGTTAGCTTAGTAGAACTTAGCCTACAAGCATGGAAACACATGTGAACCATTTTATGACATCTTGTTTGTTTTTCTGTTTTGTTCTTCTGTCCTTCCCCTCCTTTATCTTAATGCCCAGGGAATATAGTCTGATAGGTTTGAAGTACATAGCCTACTTAAGGCTATATGCCCCTCAAGCTCAACTCTGGACCTCGAAGCCAGTTCTACATTTACATTACATTTTAGTCATTTAGCAGACGCTCTTATCCAGAGCGACTTACAGTTAGTGAATATATGTATATTTTATTTTATTGGCCCCCCGTGGGAAATGAACCCACAACCCTGCCGTTGCAAACGCCATGCTCTATCAACTGAGCTACATCCATGCCGGCCATTCCCTCCCCTACCCTGGACGACGCTGGGCCAATTGTGCGCCGCCATGAGTCTCCCGGTCGCGGCCGGCTGCGACAGAGCCTGGTTTCGAACCAGGATCTCTAGTGGCACAGTTAGCACTGCGATGCAGTGCCTTAGACCACTGCGCCACCTGCGTTCTTTCATTGTTCCCTTCTAATCAAGGACTGATTTAGACCTGGGACACCAGGTGGGTGCAATTCATTATCAGGTAGAACAGAAAACCATTAGGCTCCGGATCTCATAGGGTAAGAGTTGAATACCCCGGCTATACCTTAAACAAAGGAAATACCTTTATATCAGATGAATGACTGTACAGACTACCGGCACAGCCTAGATTATGGCTGTATAACATGAGAATTGAGAAAGTTGGACACCACGCACGCCTCAGGTTATAGCAGGCGAATGAACTCCCTCGCTGACTGTCACATCCACTCTGAGCGAACGAGGTACTTGGCTGGAGCTCGCCCGTAAGAAGCCAGTCGACATTTGTAACGGCTCTTGAACCTACATTCTGCGGTCAACTCACCCTGCAGACTTATTTTTTTTCATTTTGAAATAAAGCTCCATTCATCAACATCAAACTGGACTCTCGGCGGATAGTTATTTACTCCTGTTGATTTTCTTGTCAACTTTCACGCACCGTTTCTTGGGACATGGGTGCGAGGCGCGAGTTGGCAACTTTTCTGGCTCTATACACATTTCTATTCGTTGCAACATGTGAGCCAATGGATAAGCAAGATATGCAAGGTAAAATGAATAATACTAACTCACTCATGGTAATGTGTATTTTGTGAATCATCGAATGAAATTAGGGGGAAGTGTGTTTTCGAAATTAATTGATGCAGACAGTTATTTCAAACAAGCGCGCAGTTTTGGTCTGGACTGCCATTGACACACATAAACTCGAGATGGTTATAATAATCCTGAAAATATTAGTTAAAACTGTAATATTATTTAAAATGAATTGTGTGCGCGCCCTATAACCATTTCCAACGCGAGCATAAAACACTCCACACACAGGGTGCAACGTTTTTCTCTCACCTTTATGGCTTGAAATGTGCCGTTTTATCTCTATAGGCTACTTTCTATCATCTGTTTTCTCATTCATCTTGGTTATGTTGGTCTTGTTTCACTGCTGGTTAATTAGGCTATTTATTTTCATTTCATACACAAATAATATTCCTCTCTCTTTTCATTCTTTTTTGAGATGACCAGTTTTTTCCTTCCACTTGTCATAACTGATCATGTCTCCTCCACTTGTATTCTTTCTGACATATACAGGAACAGAGAAAGTGCTAAGCCAACTATTTCCCGACTTCCTTGGCTGACTTTCCCCATATTCCCCTCTTTCCCCCTTGAGTGCTCACAGCCTGCTTGTGGCAGAAATCCTGACCATTGCCAAACCAGTGTGTGAACGGGTGAGGAGGTGTCAGAAATAATAGCAAGAGAGAGGGAGGCAGCGTGATAAGGAGGAAAGGGAAAGCCTTCTTATCAAGAGCCAGAAAGCAGCCAGGAGTCCTGCTCCTTTTACTCCTCTCCTTTGTTCCCCCTGGGTTTTAATATCCAGCAATGTGTCAGCATGGGCTTTGACTTTTGTCACTATGAAGTTCTCTGTGATAAAGTTCAGGAATGCCACTACTAAAATTGATGGAAGTAAATTAATTCTGTATTGGTGCACAATCTAGGAAAGACAATAAAGACAGAGGGAAATTCAAAGTCAAATGAAGAGAAAGGAAATAGAAAAATATGTGTAAGAAAATAGTTGATATGTACTATGTATTTGTAACCTACAATGTCTATTGAACTAACATTTAAACTGTAGATTGGGACTATTATAACTTGTAAAACTTGTTTCTTAAGAAGTCTTCATAAGGGATGTGGTTGTAATAAGAGTCAGATTTGCTATTGTTAAGTGAGATTTTGCTTCAGAGATGTCAACTAGTCACCCAACAGGTGTCCTCATATACCTGGGCAAGGGTCAAAGGTGAGGCGTTATCATGGGACTGGATGAGAGCCTTTGATCAGGGAAAATGGTAGATAGATACCATTATCTATCTGTCATTCTCTCCTTCATTCTCTCTCTCCCCACCCCCTCTCCAGTCATTGACATGCTAACCCTGGACTCCAAGACCAGTGTGTCTGCGGTGGAGAAGGTAACAGGTGCCATGAGTGTGCTCAGTGACCTCTACATCGTGTCTACATTCCGCCTGCCTCCCAAGATGGGAGGGGTGCTGCTGGGCCTCTACAGCAAAGAGGAGAACAAGAAGTACCTGGAGCTGGCCATCATGGGAAAGATCAACAAAGGTACTTAGATACTGTCACTCTCACCCACTGACTAAACCAGAATGAACTATTTCCCAGTTTCTCGGTGACGGAGCATACAACTAACTCAGTCTCAAACCACCTTTAGGATTTAAAAGTGTTCACATGAATATCAATCAAGTTTCCCTTTTTCCATCCCCCTTTTTTGTATCCGTTTTACTTTTCACTCCTTGTTCTTCTTTTGCAGTTATTAGTGACCTGTCCATGTTCAGTAAATCCCTACATTTAAGTTTTTCTCCCCCTTTTACCCTCTCTCAAAGCTCTGGTGCGTTACGTGAGGGAGGATGGCAAAATTCACACAGTGAACCTCCAGAGCGCAAACCTGGCTGATGGTCGCACACACTCCATTATTCTCCGGGTCGGAGGCCTGCGCAGAGACAACCTACACCTGGAGCTCTACGTCAACTGTCGATTGGCTGACTCCAGCCAGGGCCTCCCTCCATTGGTCCCTCTCCCCGCGGAGGCGGAGATGGGTGGAGATTCGTAATGGCTTCAAGTCCTACGCAAGGCTACAGGTGACAAGGAACACTGAGTCTGACACTAAGTCCCAATCCAATTAAATCCCATGCCCCTTTAGCTAGGGGCCAGGGCTTCATCTCAATAGCCCAACATGGCTTGCTGTCCTCATCTCCTATCCTCCATCTGCACTTATTTGAAAACACAGGGTGAAGCAACAAAGCCATATGGTGGATGCCTACTGGAAATTAGCTTTCACCTGTCAAGGTCTTTCACATCAGTGTAGATGAAGTGGAGCAGACGAGGAGTGGAGGCGACTTTTAATTGAGAGGTGGTCCTCTTTGACTACCTTTAACCATAGCAAGAGCTGTCATATCAAATCATATCATATCATAGCAGTTTCAACCACAGCATGGTGTGATCCAAGCTTCTCCCATTACAGGGCGCTGTGGAGTCCCTCAAAATGGTGCTAGGGGGCAGTGTGGTCAAAGCAGGTGCCCTGACAGACTGTCCATTCCAGGGGGATTCATCAGTCTACAACACAGGTGTGTCCAAAATCAGTATATGACTTTCTAAGATGAAGTCTGTTATGAAAATGGTTAATCAGATGTGTATCCTGTACATGTTTCAACAAAAAGTATTTTTCCTCTTCTTACAGTGGGTGCGACTGCAGAAGTGAACTCCATTCTAGGTGAGTGTATTCAAATGTCTCTTTTCAAGTATACAGTGGAATCAATGTCTTATGGAAATGTGTGTTGGCTTTACTTTGACAATGATTGGGTATTCTGTGGGTATTGTATGTCAGGTGACCACACTAAGGCTCTGATTGGCCAGCTGATCATCTTTAACCAGATCCTAGGAGAGCTGCGGGAGGACATCAGAGAGCAGGTGGGTTGTGTGTGTGTGGTGTGTGTGTGTGTGTGTGTGGTGTTGTACAAGTGTATGCATGCAGCATGTATGTGTGTCTGCATACTGTATGTGTATGTGCATTTTCATTGATGTCCTCTCCTTCTCCAGGTGAAGGAGATGTCCCTGATTAGGAACACCATTCTGGAGTGCCAAGTGTGTGGTGAGTGAACAGCCATGGAAACAAAACAATGTGTACTGAAAGTTTTGACCAATCCCTCATGTTCCCTGGTCTTGTCTTGCTCTTAAATACAAAACAAAACCTAAACGAACGATAAAGACGTGTGTTGACCTCCAGGCTTCCACGACACTCGTTCCCGCTGCTCCCCCAACCCCTGTTTTAAGGGCGTGTCCTGCATGGAGACCTTTGACTACCCAGGGTACCGCTGTGGCCCCTGCCCGGAGGGCATGATGGGCAACGGAACCCACTGCCAGGACATTGACGAGGTATGACACAATAACAGACAGGAAATGGAAATTAGCCTGGCCGGGTTTTAAATGGTGGTTTTTACACTGCCTCACCTCAAGCTCACAGTTTAATGAGGCTTTTAGGGTGACAGCTGAGCTGTTGTCAAAATAGACCGCGTCACTTCAAGTACTGTACTCAGCACGGCTCTTATTTCAAAGAGGCCCTACCACTTATCTCTGTCTATTTCTCTCTCATCTCCCCCACTCTCTCTGTTCTCTCTCTATTTCTATTCTCTGTCTCTCTAACCTGTCTCAGTGTTCCATAGCCCAGCCCTGCTACTCTCCAGGTGCGTGTATAAACACAGTGAAGGGTTTCAGCTGTGAGCTCTGCCCCCCTGGTCTCTGGGGCCCGCCCCTCTTTGGGGTCGGACTGGAGTATGCCAAGCACAACAAGCAGGTACACGCACACACAAACACACTGTCACTTCTTTCCTTATTGACATAATCCATCATTCCCTATTGTCTTTTTTCTTCCTCACACACCTTGCTGTGGTTTTGTCCATAGGAGTGTGCAGACATCGATGAGTGTATTGAAGTTGCCAACGCCTGTGTGCCCCACTCCATATGTACCAACACCATCGTAAGTAGAAACCCTTCTCCAATGTCAAGGTGTTTATTACAATGTACACTGCTCAAAAAAATAAAGGGAACACTTAAACAACACAATGTAACTCCAAGTCAATCACACTTCTGTGAAATCAAACTGTCCACTTAGGAAGCAACACTGATTGACAATAAATGTAACATGCTGTTGTGCAAATGGAATAGACAACAGGTGGAAATTATAGGCAATTAGCAAGACACCCCCCAATAAAGGACTGGTTTTGCAGGTGGTGACCACAGACCACTTCTCAGTTCCTATGCTTCCTGGCTGATGTTTTGGTCACTTTTGAATGCTGGCGGTGCTTTCACTCTAGTGGTAGCATGAGACGGAGTCTACAACCCACACAAGTGGCTCAGGTAGTGCAGCTCATCCAGGATGGCACATCAATGCGAGCTGGGGCAAGAAGGTTTGCTGTGTCTGTCAGCGTAGTGTCCAGAGCATGGAGGCGCTACCAGGAGACAGGACAGTACATCAGGAGATGTGGAGGAGGCCGTAGGAGGGCAACAACCCAGCAGCAGGACTGCTACCTCCGCCTTTGTGCAAGGAGGAGCAGGAGGAGCACTGCCAGAGCCCTGCAAAATGACCTCCAGCAGGCCACAAATGTGCATGTGTCTGCTCAAACGGTCAGAAACAGACTCCATGAGGGTGGTATGAGGGCCTGACGTCCACAGGTGGGGGTTGTGCTTACAGCCCAACACCGTGCAGGACGTTTGGCATTTGCCAGAGAACACCAAGATTGGCAAATTCGCCACTGGCGCCCTGTGCTCTTCACAGACGAAAGCAGGTTCACACTGAGCACGTGACAGATGTGACAGAGTCTGGAGACGCCGTGGAGAACGTTCTGCTGCCTGCAACATCCTCCAGCATGACCGGTTTGGCGGTGGGTCAGTCATGGTGTGGGGTGACATTTCTTTGGGGGGCCGCACAGCCCTCCATGTGCTCGCCAGAGGTAGCCTGACTGCCATTAGGTACCGAGATGAGATCCTCAGACCCCTTGTGAGACCATATGCTGGTGCGGTTGGCCCTGGGTTCCTCCTAATGCAAGACAATGCTAGACCTCATGTGGCTGGAGTGTGTCAGCAGTTCCTGCAAGAGGAAGGCATTGATGCTATGGATTGGCCCGCCCGTTCCCCAGACCTGAATCCAATTGAGCACATCTGGGACATCATGTCTCGCTCCATCCACCAACGCCACGTTGCACCACAGACTGTCCAGGAGTTGGCGGATGCTTTAGTCCAGGTCTGGGAGGAGATCCGCCACCTCATCAGGAGCATGCCCAGGCGTTGTAGGGAGGTCATACAGGCACGTGGAGGCCACACACACTACTGAGCCTCATTTGGACTTGTTTTAAGGACATTACATCAAAGTTGGATCAGCCTGTAGTGTGGTTTTCCACTTTAATTTTGAGGGTGACACCAAATCCAGACCTCCATGGTTTGATTTGTGTGTGATTTTGTTGTCAGCACATTCAACTATGTAAAGAAAAAAGTATTTAATAAGATTATTTCATTCATTCAGATCTAGGATGTTATTTTAGTGTTCCCTTAATTTTTTTGAGCAGTATGTACAGCGTCAAATCTTCACAAACTAGACATCGCCCTCTTGTGATCATTTGAGAGTACTGTAGAGCCGCTGTGTAGTAAAGCTGTTCTCTCTCCCTTCCTCCTCTCTCTCTTTCTCCCACCTCTCCTTCTCTCTTTATCTCCCAGGGCTCGTTCAGGTGTGGTGGCTGTAAGGTGGGCTACCTGGGGAACCAGACAACAGGCTGCGTGCCCCGTAGGTCCTGTGCCACACTCAGCTTTAACCCTTGTGATGCCAACGCCCACTGCATCATAGAGAGGAACGGAGAGGTGACCTGTGCGGTAAGCAACAATGATCTTTTACTACCTTTGCCCTCCTGGACAGGAAAAGAGGAGCTACATGCCCTATACTGCCAGCCTCGAAATACTACTTTATAGAAGTACTGTAGGGTTGGTTTAAAATGCTCTCCTTTCTTCCATTCTCCAGTGCAACATTGGCTGGGCCGGTAACGGGAACACTTGTGGCACAGACACAGACATTGATGGATACCCAGACCGCTCTTTACCCTGTATGGACAATGACAAGCACTGCAAAAAGGACAACTGTGTTTACACACCCAACTCAGGCCAGGAGGACGCTGACAACGACGGCATCGGAGACCAGTGTGACGAGGACGCAGATGGGGACGGCATCAAGAATGTAGAGGTATGTGTGTTTCCATCTCAGACCCTCTGTGATAATTGTATCTGGGTGTATGTGTGTGATAATATAACTTGTATGATTGTAAGTCATTTTTTCTCGTTTTTTCATGAACATAACTGGTGTTTATGATTTGCAGGATAACTGTCGACTAGAACCCAACAAAGATCAGCAGAACTCAGACACAGACTCTTTCGGTGACGCCTGTGACAACTGTCCCAATGTCCCTAACATTGACCAGAGAGATACGGACAGCAACGGGCAAGGAGACGCCTGTGACAATGACATAGATGGAGATGGTGTGTGTTCACAAAGGCACGGACGCGTGCGCACACTCACACACTCACTCACTTACACATAAACTGCAAGAGGTCTGGGAGACAACTTTGTGGGTCGCTGTTGAAGTTGACATTATACTCATTGTTAACATATCCAATCTGAGCAACTAGGTGATGGCCCTCATGTCTCCCTCCTGTCCTATCCTGGTGTTCAGGTATCCCCAACGTGCTGGACAACTGCCCCAAGGTCCCCAACCCCATGCAGACAGACAGGGACGGAGACGGTGTAGGAGACGCCTGTGACAGCTGCCCTGAGATCAGCAACCCCATGCAGGTAAAATAACCTTCACACACCCCAACCCCCAAAATGTGGATCAACAGAAGATATTTAGCCACTCTTGGCTGAAACAGGGGTTTAGGCTGCTCATTTGTCTTCTTTGGTTTATTCTGACCCTTTACCCCTAGACGGACATTGACAACGATCTGGTGGGGGATGTGTGTGACACTGACCAGGACACGTGAGTCTCTGACTTCAACACACGCACGCACGCACGCCCGCACAAACACATACACAAAAACATACACACAACACACACACACACTGCACTCACACTGTCACACAGCGCTACACCTGCTGTGGCTAACACACACATACATGCACCTGCTGCACTCATATCCACAAAAACACCCAGTCACTGCTGTGATTTACAAGTAGACACACACACCTGCTGGGGCTTCTTTTTATGTTGCAGTTGTTTGAACGTCTTGATTGTGTTTTTCTAGGGGGAAAAAACCCCAGTATCTATTTCGGTACAAACAAAATAAGTGAACATAACATGACTTGGGCCAGGATTCATTGCAATGCACGTTATAGCGCAGCGCACTATACCTGACTTTTAAAGGTAATTTACGATTGAGCCGACATGCGCAGCAATTACCATGAATGTGATCTCCATGAACGTTGTGTAAAATGCCTAAGGCGCATTGTCGGTTGTCTAGTGCACTGTGCTAGAGCACGCCTTGAATTAAATCCCAGCCTTGGCGTTTAACTGAATGCCAGTGTGTCTATGTGTGTTCCAGGGATGGGGACGGTCACCAGGACTCCAGGGACAACTGCCCTGACCATCCCAACAGCTCCCAGCTGGACTCGGACAACGATGGCCTTGGGGACGACTGTGATGATGACGATGACAATGACGGGATCCCAGACGTCCAAGACAACTGCAGACTTATCACCAACCCCAACCAGAAAGATTCTAACAGTAACCAACCGTTAAAGGGATAGTTCACTGTTCATGTTTTAGCTTATTTTTTACTTACGAATTGCTACATGCTTCAAAAGTGCCCATCTCCCTCTCCTCTCCCAGGTAACGGGGTGGGCGACGTGTGTGAGAACGACTTTGACAACGATTCAGTCTGGGATCTGATTGACGTGTGCCCTGAGAGTTCAGAGGTCACACTGACAGACTTCAGAGCCTATCAGACAGTCATTCTGGATCCAGAGGGCGACGCCCAGATCGATCCCAATTGGGTGGTGCTCAATCAGGTGACCCTTGACCTCCCTCTTTGGCTCAACACATGACCAACTTTGATTGTAGGCTGAAATATCCCTTTAAGGTTATCCTCCTACTCTGAAATCAGTTTACAAGGAGGACTATTATGGTTATTATAAATAGGCCTATGCTAGTGCATTGACTACAGACTAAAGCCTGTTATATTACATTGTGCATATTTGTCACGCTCTTATGGAATACTCTAAAATTAGGTATATGATTCATTGTGGATACAGATTCTGATATTAGCAAGTCCTCTTTTATTGCAGGGCATGGAAATAGTTCAGACCATGAACAGTGATCCTGGTTTAGCTGTGGGTAAGTTGATGTTATGGGTTATGTTGTTTGTTACTACTTGTCCTGTTCCTGTGATGTACTCTAAATAGAATTGCTAATATTTAGGCCTACACAGTGATTTGAGTATAGCAGTGTATTGAAAAGGTGCTGAAAAAAATGAAGAAATATATATATATATATATATTTAAATTCCAGTGAACTGAATTGACCTGACTCAACGTAATAACCTCCCCCAGGCTACACAGCATTCAACGGGGTGGACTTTGAGGGCACCTTCCATATCAACACGGTGACGGACGACGACTATGCAGGCTTCATCTTCGGCTACCAGGACTCCTCTTCCTTCTACGTGGTGATGTGGAAACAGACAGAGCAGACCTACTGGCAGTCGACACCCTTCAGGGCCATGGCCCAACCTGGCCTGCAGCTCAAAGTGAGTGATGGGACACAAACACAGCAGCCTATAGCTGGTGCTACTGATAAGAAACTTGGCTGAATCGGGACACTTCCTGAGAATCCCCTATAGACAGACTCTGCTGTTGGATATAAGTACAACAAAGCATGTTGTGGTGGAGCGACATTGTAAAAACCTTTGATAGTTATCCAGTGAAATACTACAGGGTTCAGAATATGCAACAAACTCTCTCTCTCTCTCTCTCTCTCGTCCCCCTCCAGGCAGTGAAGTCCCGTACAGGGCCTGGTGAGTACCTGCGTAACGCCCTGTGGCACACAGGGGACACCAACGAGGAGGTGAAGCTGCTGTGGTCGGACCCACGGAACGTGGGCTGGAGAGACAAGACGTCTTACCGCTGGCAGCTCAGCCACAGGCCCCAGGTGGGCTACATCAGGTAGGTCACACCCCTCTTTCTCTCTTAGTTCTTTATTATTTTTTCTTTTCATCTACTATTTTCTATTTGTATCAGAAATTCAGTAACTGTTTTATTATCAATAGAATTTATGATCTGAAGTCATTTAGTACCTGCTTAGCTACGTATCAGAATTCCATTGTTGTTTACTTATTTGGGGGCAGATGAGTTCGAAGGGTTTGAACTTGAAGCTTAGTTCATCCTCACTGGACAGGACACTGTTGTGGTACACGGCTGTGTGTGACCACTGTTGACCACTAGAGGGGGTTTACGCTGCCTTGGCTTGGCTTGGATGATTAAAAAAGAAAGATGGCTGGTGGCAGTTTGGTGGACTGGGTGGCTATTCACCAATTTATACTCCATATTTTTTCCCTCCTAAACCTCTTTGTGACTTTTACGGAGAGACCGGGCCCCCTGGCCCTCTATTGTCCCCGTTGCCATGTCAACCAAATCCTTGGCAAGAATTTGCTGAGCGCCCGTTCATATGCAGATCCAGAGGAAACTACTGTAGAGTGGGGGGTCTGAGAGAGAGAGAGAGAGAGAGAGCAAGAGAGAGAGAGAAAAGAGGGGGGATGTAGAAAGCGAGAGAGGGAGAGAGCAGGGAGAGTATCAAAGACAGAGAAAGAAACAGAAAGAGAAACAAGTGTGAGGTAGTCTGAGTAGAGGCACTGAGAGTAACATAGCAGAATAAGCTGAAAGAGAATATCTTGAATCAGACGTCATGTCCGAGGAACATATTGCTTATGCAAATAGTTTAAGAAACCAGCTTTATTGGGTGGCATAAATACCGCATTGTGCTCAACAAAGCATCAGCTAGACATTTGAACCAACACCTGCGTTTGAGCATCTCTCAAAACCCTTATATTTCTGACCCATTATCAGTAGCGATGCATTGATAAAATCACAGGGGAAGCCAAGCCAGAAAAAAAAGTCATATTATAACCTATGTGTTGTGATAATTGCTTTGTTTGCGCTATAACCTGTTAGTTCATATGCCTTGACACCGTGATATATAGGCCTAAGGCCGAGACAATAAGAAGACACAGTGGCAGAATAAATTCAACCACATATTGGTTTCATTACAAAACCTGTCCGGTGAAGTCCACAAAACATATTGCATGTAACACACAGTTACATGACCTACACCATGGTCAAGCAAGGTAATGTTTCTGACATTTTCGGACTACTAAACAACTATTGATTTAGAACCACAGAGAGTTACCGCAAGTCGCAAAGAAAACAGGGGCTGCCTCCACTATTCCAGCACCATTTCAACATCATCTAATCACCTATGCTTCGTCTAATACAGTGACATCTAAAAGATACCAAAAATGATTTAGTCCAATCAACATAAGCTAAATATGATGTGGCTGTCCATGGAACTGATTTGTGTGTGTGCGTGCAAGTAGAAAAAACATGTTGACTCACCCTACTTGTAGAGGAACGCCAATGCCGCCATCCTCTTTCATGTTGCCTAAACGGTCTATGAGTCTGTCATATATTACACGCTTTTAGTTTTTGTTGTACTAGGCTACCTGACTAAAATGCTTGCTCGCTAGCCTAACTACCTTTCATGGGCAACGATGCGCCAGGCCAGCTATTTAACATTAGCATACTACACCTAGCTACATGTTAACTTCCCAGGAGCACAATATATGAATTTATGGTTGGATCAGAATTGCCGTTATAATCATTGGCCAGTACGGAGAATTAAGTAAGTCCAAATCCCTATCTCCCATCCATTGCTAATTTAGGAAAGGTACAATTTTAGCAAGCTAGCCACCGGAGGACAACAACACAAGGAGATGCAACAATTCATGTTTTTTCTGTCAATAATGACGTTTGGCTTGTGACGTGATTGGTCTGAAGCCAAATCCAAACGGGACCATTCACAGCTATGCTCACTCTGTTTAGCTCAACACTGATTGGCTATTATTTTATTTTTATTTTTTATCAAGGGGAGGCCAAATGCTCGCTGGCTTTCCTTGAATTCAATGCTATGGGCGGCAACACTGTCATGTGCTTTCTGACCAGACAGCGTCAGATAGATACGCTACACATACTGAGACAGTGTGGCACTGTTTCATTCACTCAGATGCTTTCTACGGTGAGATACATTCAGCCTCTTGCAAATTGAAGGAAATGTATGATACACAGCGAGACGAAATATACATTATTTTGTATGTTTTTCTCTTGGTCCATTTTTTTTGGGGAAGCCTGGCTTCCCTTGGCATCCATGAATACATGCCACTGCCCATTTATAAAAAAGTTGCCAGAGAAAAGGAGAGTTGGGGGGTGGAGTTTGAGGAGGTTGTGGAGGGGGGGGTCTCTCCAGTGGGGTGAGGGGAGAGTGGAGAGAGTGAGACAGGTCTTTTTAGAGGCAGGGAGGCCCTATTCAGACCCAAACAGAGAGACACCTGCTTTGTATGCTGTGCAGAGGAGTCAATGGAGCACTGCAGCGCTGCACTGCACTGCACTCACTCAGGCAGCGGCTGGGACAGGGGCCTGCTCTCTCTCTTTCACTCTTTCTCTGTTCATCCAAATCGCCCATTTTGAGTTCTGTGGTTACTTGCCACTGTGTTTTAGTTTGGTGGCACTTCATTTGACTAATCTCTTATATGACCATATGCCAACTACTACAGCTACCCACAACAACCACATGTTATGGGTATGTGACAGTGGTATAAATAAGGACAGTGTGAAGTTATAGGATTACTTTCATTTTGATGATTACTAGAGGGAACATGACTAGAAATGACAAGGGAATTTAAAAGTCCCCTGATTTGTGCATTGTCCTGTGCTCTGTGGCAGGGTGAAGTTATATGAGGGGACGGAGATGGTGGCTGACTCTGGCGTGGTGATTGACACTACCATGAGAGGCGGACGACTGGGGGTCTTCTGTTTCTCCCAAGAGAACATAATCTGGTCCAACCTGCGCTACCGCTGCAACGGTAAGACACCCTTCCTTACATTGCTACTAACCACTAACGATACTTGTATTGAACAACATAATGCTAGTGAACTAATTTACTTGTATGTTCTACTTCATGTATTTGTTGTTTCTTAGACACTGTTCCAGACGACTTCAACCCATACCGCAAACAGGTCCTGCTGCACATCAAGGTGTGAGAGGAGTTGGACAATGTTTGAGTGCTGGGGCATGTAGATGACTACCCAATCCAGCATTGTCTCTCTATACACATTCACACACACACTCTTACTGCCTCTCAGTACAGACTGCCAACTGCTGTTAAAGTGTGACTGTGTCTGCCCATGAGTGAAAGGGGAGGGGTTTCAGAGTTGTGGGGAGGGGTTTTAGAGTTGTGGTAAAGGAGGAAGAAGAACCAATTTACAACATTGCTGTTATACCGGACTGGAAAAGCGAAAGGTACCAGAGACTTTGGAAGAAAGTACACAGTACCAGTCAAAAGTTTGGACACACCTACTCATTCAAGTGTTTTTCTTTATTTGTACTGTTTTCTACATTGTAGAATAATAGTGAAGACATCAAAAATATGAAATAACACACATGTAATCATGTAGTAACCAAAAAAGTGTTAAATAAATCCAAATATATTTTATATTTGAGATTCTTAAAAGTAGCCACCCTTTGCCTTGATGACAGCTTTGCACACTCTTGGCATTCTCTCAACCAGCTTCACCTGGAATGCTTTTCCAACAGTCTTGAAGGAGTTCCCACATATGCTGAGCACTTGTTGGCTGCTTTTCCTTCAATCTGCGGTCCAACCCATCCCAAACCATCTCAATTGGGTTGAGGTCGGGGGATTGTGGAGGCCAGGTCATCTGATGCAGCACTCCATCATTGTCTTTCTTGATAAAATAGCCTTTACACAGCCTGGAGGTGTGTTGGGTCATTGTCCTGTTGAAAAACAATTGATAGTCCCACTAAGCCCAAACCAGATGGGATGGCGTATCGCTGCAGAATGATGTGGTAGCCATGCTGGTTAAGTGTGCCATGAATTCTAAATAAATCACAGACAGTGTCACCAGCAAAGCACCACCACACCATAACACTTCCTCCTCCATGCTTTACGGTGGGAACTATACATATTGAGATCATCCGTTCACCAACACCGTGTCTCACAAAGACACGGCGGTTGGAACCAAATTTCTCCAATTTGGACTCCAGACCAAAGGACAAATTTCCACCGGTCTAATGTCCATTGCTGGTGTTTCTTGGCCCAAGCAGGTATCTTCTTCTTATTGGTGTCCTTTAGTAGTGGTTTCTTTGCAGCAATTCGACCATGAAGGCCTGATTCACACAGTCCCCTCTGAACAGTTGATGTTGAGATGTGTCTGTGGCTTGAGCTCTGTGAAGCATTTATTTGGGCTGCAATTTCTGAGGCTGGTAACTCTAATGAACTTATCCTCTGCAGCAGACATAACTCTTGGTCTTCCATTCCTGTGGAGGTCCTCATGAGAGCCAGTTTCATCATAGCGCTTGATGGTTTTTGCGACTGCACTTGAAGAAACTTTCAAAGTTCTTGAAATGTTCCAGATTGTCTGACCTTCATGTCTTAAAGTAATGATGGACTGTCGTTTCTCTTTGCTTATTTGAGCTGTTCTTGTCATATTATGGAGTTGGTCTATCTTCTGTATACCACCCCTACCTTGTCACAACACAACTGATTGGCTCAAACACATTAAGGAAAGAAATTCCACAAATTAAACTTTTAACAAGGCACACCTGTTAATTGAAATGCATTCCAGGTGACTACTTAATGAAGCTGGTTGAGAGAATGCCAAGAATGTGCAAAGCTGTCATCAAGGCAAAGGGTGGCTACTTTGAAGAATCTCAAATATAAAATATATTTTGATTTGTTTAACACTTTTTTGGTTACTACATGATTCTATATGTGTTATTTCATAGTTTTGATGTCTTCACTATTATTCTACAATGCAGAAAATAGTAAAAATAAAGAAAAACCCTTGAATGAGTAGGTGTCCAAACTTTTGACTGGTACTGTACATGATCATTAATGTATGTAGACTGTGTTACTTCTGGGTTTGAGTTGCTGTCCTTGCCCTCAATTTCACTGTATGAACGGTGGTTGTGTGAATGGCAGTGGGTAGCCGTTGAGTTTGACTGTTGCGTTATGTATGAGTGCTGTTGTGGCTTTGTGTTTGTGTATTTACAGCTATCATAGGAATAAATTGATTATGTTTTGTGTTTTAAGACTGAACACTTTAAGGATAGTTTTTTTCATCTCATATCTAACTGTAAAATAAAAACCATAAGCTAATGTTACAGGAATGATGGGAATTTGATAAATACTGTGCATCCTCTAGATATGAAACTCCTGGTAACTCATTGTCATGACGAGATGTCATCTCAGCAGCAAAATACAGATCTGTCACAAGAGACTGTAGATTTGCAGTTATTTAGCCTATATTACTTTAAGACTTTAATAGTGGAATTATGTCCCTTTTTTGAATCAGTTTCGATCTGTGGATTCTAGTGTATACTTTCCTGGACTTCTGAGTCTGTGCCCAGTAATTGAATATGAAATAAAGCCTTATTGGAAATGTTTCTATGAATGAAGTCGTCTTTAACTGATTAATTAAACAGAAACATAAGCAAAGAGCAACACAATCGTTGTCCACAAAAAATAATAAACAATTGAATTTCTTAAAAATACGTTTATTTGACCTTTGTGATTCTGTACACAACAAGAATGCTAATGAACGATACTACGTAGGGGAAAAAAAACGGTCAAAGAAATCAAGAGCAACTGTGAGTGAGCACTGCTGTTCTGAGGCCATCCAGTCAGTGAGGTATGTGGTGACACTGGTCCTAACTCTGTATCTAACCGCTGAGTGCTGTGGTTGTCATCATATCTCCCAGGAGCAGACAGACCCCAGGGCTCAACTTATTGAACTGCCCAGTCTGCCTCCACTGTCTGCTTCTCTCCTCCACATTAATAGCCAGTCATAGAAATCCATATACATGGTACAGAACTTGCAATATTTAATATCATGTTATTATTATGCCGTGTAGTAACACTGTAATAACTCAATAATAACACTGTATTTTAACATGTTGTTACATTGTAACTTGCTTTGTAATGGAGTTGAGCATTTTCGTTACCACATAAGTGAAATAAAGCCTCTTCCCATTCCACTTGTGTAATAACATAAAAAAGAGTTACCCTGCTGAGGACAGACTTGAAAATTAATTTGGATTCCATCTAGAATGGAGTTTTGAAGCATTATTCTATTAAGCTGAAGATGTCCTGCTATTGACCCCTGACTACTGTGGGAGGATTTCAATCGGTTCATTCATTCTCTTTGCTCTATCCTCACTAAATCGCTCTCAGGTATGAACAGATGCAATATAATAGGCATTTGTCATCCTACGTCTTGTTGGCCATACAGAGTTTGTGCAATACTGCTTCCTATCCTAATATGTGGGAACTTTCAGAGTGAAGCCACAAGGGCAGAGGGAAGAGAATGACTTAGTGGAGTTGGCAAAGGTCCTCACGTGGCAGCTAGCCAGCCAGTGTCAGGTGCGGACAGTGGGACTGTTTGGAAGCAGAGGCTTACCAACTGTATAGAATAAATTCACTGGGTTTCTCCCATAGCAGGCCACATGTTGTGAATAGCAAGAATGAATAGGGTTAATATGGCCAATGACATAGTTTAAAAAAAAAAAAGTATGTATCTCTAAATAAATGTGCTGTTAAAAATATATTTTTAAGTGAGAACAAAGTTGTGAAGTACATATCACAGTGCTCTTCCACACGTTTACAGAGAGAACATTATGAGGAAAAACAACATTTCTGAGCTCCTCTGTTAAAGATGGAATACCCTGGGTCCGGGAGGCCGGGACGAGTGCAATATTGGGAGGGCATCGTACAACAGTGCACCACATCCCACACCTGCCTGGCCCTGGGAGGGGTTAAGACTTAATCTGCATCCCCAAGCACCAACGCTTCATGATCTGGCTGCAATTCCAAGGTTACCCTCTCTTCAGATATGTCTTGAGACTCAGACTGCCTGAGGAAGACAAAAGTGTTGCATATTAGTCAACTGTCTAAAAGAGAGCTTATTCTCTCTCTCTCTAGGGCTCTCTCTCTCTCTCTCTCTCTCTCTCTACTCACTCACTCACTCACTCACACACACACACACACCACACACACACAACAAACAAGAGCCCTAACAGTTACCAGGGCAACAGGTCTCCAAGCCACATAGGGGTAATGTGTTTAGCGCAGCCAAAAAAGTAAGGGGGAAAAAAAACAGTTTTCGAGGGAAAAAACACTTCCACATTCTAAAATGTATTGTCAAAAGTATTATAATATACACTCCTCCAAAGTCGAAACCTTTTTCCCCAAACGAAATTATATTGTGATACATAACAGGTGCATAATTTCGTTTGGGGAAAAAGGTTTGGACTTTGGAGGAGTGTGTCCAAACACACACTGTCTAAGCCTTTATAAACAAGTACACTAACTTAGATAAACATATAAACCAATGAAAATGTGTTTTAAACCTTACCTCATGTCACAAGTGATTAATTGCCTCTTCATTCATATAGTGTCGCCATTCTCTCGGGAACATGTTTTGATATGGCCTATGAAAATGCATCAGCAACAACTCGCCAGGCAGTTAGAAAGATGGGTTCTTATTAGTCCAGAAATCCTTATATGCTGGATCTGTTTTCTTAAACGAATTCCGAACCCATTCTGCAAGTATCCAGAGCCGAAGATACATGAGTTCTTTCCTCTCCTAAAAGCTCTCTGACAATGGACCTCGCGCTCCGATTAGCCACTGCTTGGTCAATGGGCCCCGCCTCCACTGCCACAACAAACAAAGGCTACTATGCAATGCTCACTGAGGCATGTAGGTGCCCCTCTTAAAAGGCCAATAACTTCGGACATTCTCCGCAGTTGAGGAAACACGTCCGCCTATCCTTCCCTCTCTGTGCGTATCCCTGCAGGAATGTCTACCTCTTTGAACTTTTAGTAAATCATGATGAAATATTAAACTACAGTGGACTCACAAAAATTCAGCATTTATGATATTCAGATGTCAATCAATGAAATTTCGCGCCACTGGTGCGCACCACATGTCACGTGAAAACCTAGAGATAAATTGAAAGGGTAAAACATGTAGTCATGTCGTTTACTGACATTCGCCTACTATCTGAAAACATTATCACACGTTTGGTCACGTTTGTTGTATTTTCTATACCAGTTTCAACGTTTCTAAATACAGTATAGCTTACAGTTTGTTTGGGGGGTTTGGCACCTGTCCTACTCCAGCTGAGTTTAGCGCCTTGCCTGTGTGAATGGTGCATGGTGCAGACCACTGGCTTTGATGGGTCATAATACAAACCACGCAGCCTGGCCTCAGGGCCATACGAACCATACTTTACGTATTTCTGGGCACCTCTAAGCCATATGATACATACTAATGGTCTAGTTACTTTAGACAGAACTAAAAGTAGGGAGATTGGATCAGGGAGGATGGATGGGCGTAATCTGCGACAATCTAGCAATCCAAATGTTGCGTGTTTGAGTCAAATTGGGGACAACTGTAGCATTTTAGCTAACCTTTCCCCTAACCCTTATTCTAAACTTAACCAAATTCACCTAACCTGCTACGTAAATGTACCTAAACGTTGTATTTTTAGTTCTCCTAACCTATTACGTAAATTATCCTAACATTTGTCGTTAGTTTCCGTAAACACCAACTTAAATTCTCCCCGTAATTCTCTTTTGTTGTTATGGTGCAACAAGCAACCTGAGTGGTATACTACAAAGCAAGCTAGATCTACGCAGGCTTTTATAAAGCTAGCCAGCGTCAGTTACCTTCACATTCCAGGTCAAGCTTAAACCGTATGACGTGGATATTGCTCGTCCGCCTGGCGCTAACTCTAGCAGGCTTGTAACTGTGTGTGGATGTCGCACATGGCTAGTCGAAGGCAAACTCTTCATTGAGACAATGCTGAAATATCAATCCATTGGCAAGTCAGTGCCACATTTTCATTTGTGCTGAAATCAAAATGAAAGAAAAGTTATCTTTATTTTATTACTTATCGTTAATGCCGTGTTTGGTGTGCTTTGGTGTGTTTATCAATGCACAAGCACTTTTTTCCCACTACTATCACTCCTTCTATCTGTGGAACAGCTTGTTGCATTGTGTGTTTGTGTGTTCTTTTTCTTTAGAATTTTCAAATAAACTTGACGTGTTTTATGATTAATAGTGATGTTGTGCGTTGTACTATTTTGGACACACTGTCCTCAGGCTCCAGCTTTATGTTGTATGTTTGATCGTATTAAACAAGAAAACAATCTGAAGTTGTTGTTTTTAAGTTATATATACCATGATTTTTCCGGTCCGGCCCACTTGGGAATAGATTTTCCTCCATGTGGCCCCTGAGCTAAAATGAGTTTGACACCCCTGACATAAGTATTCAGACCCTTTACTCAGTACTTTGTTGAAGCACCTTTGGTAGCGATTACAGCCTCGATTATTCTTGGGTATGACGCTACAAGATTGACACACCTGTATTTGGGGAGTTTCTCCCATTCTTCTCTGCAGATCCTCTCAAGCTCTGTCAGGTTGGATGGGGAGTGTCGCTGCACAGCAATTTTCAGGTCTCTCCAGAGATGTTCGATCGGGTTCAAGTCCGGGCTCTGGCTGGGCCACTCAAGGACATTCAGACTCTTGCGTTGTCTTGGCTGTGTGCTTAGGGTCGTTGTCCTGTTGGAAGGTGAACTGTCGCCCCAGTCTGAGGTCCTGAGCGCTCTGGAGCAGGTTTTTATCAAGGATCTCTATGTACACACCAGATCTTGTGCCGTTCATCTTTCCCTCAATCCTGACTAGTCTCCCAGTCCCTGCCGCTGAAAAACATCCCCACAGCATGATGCTGCCAACACCATGCTTCACCGTAGGGATGGTGCCAGGTTTCCTCCAGACGTGACGCTTGGCATTCAGGCCAAAGAGTTCAATCTTGGTTTCATCAGACCAGAGAATCTTGTTTTTCAGGGTCAGAGTCCTTTAGGTGCCTTTTGGCAAACTCCAAGCGGGCTGCCATGTGCCTTTTACTGAGGAGTGGCTTCCGTCTGGCCATTCTACCATAAAGGCCTGATTGGTGGAGTGCTGCAGAGATGGTTGTCCTCCTGGAAGGTTCTCCCATCTCAACAGAGGAACTCTGGAGCTCTTCCAGAGTCTTTGTGGTTCCAAACTTCTTCCATTTAAGAATGATGGAGGCCACTGTGTTCTTGGGGACCTTCAATGCTGCAGATACTGACTGTTTTTTTTTTATATACACCCCTACTTTTTTTTAAGGTATCTGTGACCAACAGATGCATATCTGTATTCCCAGTAGTGTGAAATCCCTAGATTAGGGCCTTATTTCAATTGACTGATTTCCTTATATGAACTGTAACTCAGTAAAATCTTTGAAATTGTTGCATGTTCCATTTGTATTTTTGTTCAGTATAGATCACACGTCACAATACCTTGACAAATTGAGTTGAAACAACGTTGATTCAACCAGTTTTTGCACTGTGGGATGATACTCTAATGACCCAGCTGGGTCATAAAGTAAAAGAGAGACGGGCACCAGGTGTACAGGCAGAACACAGGTTTATTCCTGAATGGGCTATTGTTCAGGCCACAGCCCACGCCGCTAAACCTCGAACGTACACAAATATAACATGTCAAGTTAAGGGCCCCGAACAGAAGAGAGAGAGATGAGACCGTAACCCCTATTTAAGCATTCCAAAACCCTGCGGGATTACCCATCATACCCCCCCAACCGTTCCATCTGTCCTGGCATATTTAACCCCTGCTAGCACCCATGAGAACGATAACACACCCACGAACACAGAACACAATACCGGGTTCGGCTGGGGTGCGCAACACACGACCTAACATTAGTAGCGCTGGGGAGCACGAAGTCGATTCTTGAACAGCCGACCTACATGCCATAAGAATAAATGGTAAGTGGGTGTCCCAATCTCTCTGGTGTTTTGAGGTAACGATAGCCAGCTGTTGTGCTAATGTTCTGTTAAATCTTTCCACCAGCCCATCACTCTGGGGGTGAAGCGGAGTAGTGCGCGTCTTCTCCGCGCCTAACCGTCTACACAACTCTGAGAACACCCGTGACTCAAAGTTTCTCCCCTGGTCGCTGTGTATAGACTGTGGCACCCCAAACCGACTGATTATTCCACCTACCAACGCATCAGCTACTGTTTCTGCCTCCTGGTCTGGGAGAGCGTAAGCCTCTGGCCACTTGGTGAAGTAGTCCATAGCAGTTAGAATCCACCTGTTACCGCTGTCTGTGGTTGGAAACGGTCCAACTATGTCTACCCCCAGTCTCTCCATGGGCTCCCCTACTGGGAATTGTTGTAGGAGGGCGTGTGACTGACCTGGAGGTCCTTTCTTAGCAGCACACTCGTCGCACTGCCTGCAAAAGTCCTCCACATCCCTCCTGTGCCTGGCCCAATAGAAGCCTTTACGTACGCGCTTTAACGTTTTGGAGACCCCAAAATGCCCTGCGCCTACTCCCCCGTGAAGCTGCTGTAACACGCTCCCTTGCAGCCTTTTGGGAACCACTACCTGCCACGTAATTTCTCCAGTAGCTGGCTTTTTCCACCCCCTCTGGAGCACTCCCTCAGCCACTCTAAGGACTGAGAATTTAGCCCACAGTCCTTTGGTGACTGGTGATAGAGGGGCTACTTCCCCCCACGGCGGTCGTCTTCTCTTTTCCACCCACCCCAGCACAGGACGCAGCTCTGCGTCCTTCTCCTGGCGACGCCTCCACTCCCCGACGTCCACAGCCTCAAGCTCCCGGCACTCTGTCACCCTCAGCTGACTCACCGTGGCGGTGACTCCCTCCTCCATGCACAGTTCCCTCTCTCGCTCCACCCGTTTGGCACAGTACC